GACTATTCATGGACTAATATCCTATAAATATTCTTATTGTATAACTATTCAACAATTACATTATGTATATTTGTATCCCTCTTATGACAAGCTTTATTTTGGCCTATAATTTATTATTGTACGATTTACGGTTCTTAAGTTATGTTCAGTTTATTACCTACTGCCTCCCACATTCACAGCCACTTTTTGGGCTTATTTGTGTACAAATATTATTTCCTATTTTATGGTACGTTGCGGTCTGTATGATTGATATATAAACCAAGTATGCCTGAAATAAACGATCTGCTCTGATTCGGAAGCTGGTATTGTGTTCTGTACTCAAGTGGAAGGGCTCGTAGGACATAGGACCAATAAGGACGCTAAACTGCCCACACCGGTTGAACGTCATTGGTTGGCCTAGTGTGAAGATTCGTATAAGTCGTATTCGGATTGGTAGATAAGTCGTGTGATCGAAAAGTCAGACATCCAAGGTCATAACAATTGGCGACGGGGTGGAGAAAAGTTTTGAACCCTCAACTTCAAGGTCATAACAATTGGCGACGGGGATTTTGGCAAAAAAAAATACAAGTGGTGACTCAGATTTTGGAAATAAATTAGCTGTAGTAAATTACCGGTGACTTTTGAAGTTAATATTATTATTGGCAGAAAAAAAATGTCCATTTCTTTAGAACAGGTGCAGTTAATACTACAGCTACAGCACCAGCAGATGTTAGCCTTCCAACAACAACAGAACCAGCAGATGTTAGCCTTGCAACAACAACTATTTGAAACAGTTTTGGGCAGACTTTTCACTCAGCCAGAAAATAAGGAATCTATTTATGATACAGATAATGGTGCAGTAATGGACATTTCAGAAGCATACTCCGTGGAGGTTTCAAATCCCTGTATACCAGATAGAAAACGTAATACTGGTAAATTGTCCGGCTCACAGCAAGACAATATTGTGCTAAATGCACATGAAGTTGTGAAAATACCAGATGATCAGGAGCCAGATCCTGTAGATGAAGCCCAGAGTCCAGAATTAAATGAAACGCTACTGGTTCTGTCCAGCTCTGAAAATAAACTTCAACTCGAACAAAATTGTGGTCCACGTGATTTTAGTCGAGAAAGCTGTGGGGACTCATATTCAGAAAATAACTGGGGCAACACGATGAACCCAACTGTACCAAATGTTACTCAAAATAATTGGGAGACAAAAATTTATATTGAACTGGATTATCTAATTTCTCATGATAATGTACTAGATATGGGTTCTTATAATAATGCACAGAATTTTGATGGGATTTCTTATAAAAATGAAGAAAATATGTCGGCTGTTTCAAATGATGGTCAAAAATCTAATTTAATTCTGTTAGGCGTTGACTTTCTTAACGACTCATTATCTGCTAACGAGATTCATAATGAATTTGGAAGTAATGACCTCAAGTCAAAGGTCGTTCATCATCATCTAGTCATTTTTAGTGGATTCTCCAGTCAATACGAGAAACATGGTTTAAACAAAGTCCTATTAGTTGTAATTTGGAGACATAAGGACCCAACATTATTTCGAGGAGGAGGAGAATGTTGGAGAATTTAAAGTTACACATAATCTTTTTTTAAAAATCAGAATCTAAACTTGGAATCTTAAAAAAAAGGGGGAGGTGTTATATCCGAGTGGAGATTAAATTACAGGTAACTTCCGAGGACTATTCATGGACTAATATCCTATAAATATTCTTATTGTATAACTATTCAACAATTACATTATGTATATTTGTATCCCTCTTATGACAAGCTTTATTTTGGCCTATAATTTATTATTGTACGATTTACGGTTCTTAAGTTATGTTCAGTTTATTACCTACTGCCTCCCACATTCACAGCCACTTTTTGGGCTTATTTGTGTACAAATATTATTTCCTATTTTATGGTACGTTGCGGTCTGTATGATTGATATATAAACCAAGTATGCCTGAAATAAACGATCTGCTCTGATTCGGAAGCTGGTATTGTGTTCTGTACTCAAGTGGAAGGGCTCGTAGGACATAGGACCAATAAGGACGCTAAACTGCCCACACCGGTTGAACGTCATTGGTTGGCCTAGTGTGAAGATTCGTATAAGTCGTATTCGGATTGGTAGATAAGTCGTGTGATCGAAAAGTCAGACATCCAAGGTCATAACAAAAAACAAAATAACCGTTAGGATAAACACGAGGCTCACCAAATAATTGTGGTGGACCAGACAAATATGAACGCAAAAGTATAAACAAAGTTACTAAAGATAAATAGTAATATTAATATATACAGTTTATTGTTACAAATACAATAAAAATTAGGGACGTTACTTAAGTTGCCCGAACGTTGCGTGTTCTGATTAGGTCCAGTAATGTAAATCCACAATTATAAATGCTTGATGACTCTGAGCAGGTTGGCGAACTCTCTAGCGATATAGTCCAACGTAGGATGTGATATATCCCGATTACAGTCTATAAATGTAGATAGTATTTGATTTAGACTTCCGTTAACTCAATCACAAATGGAGATAGAACGAGGAATGCGAGAGTAGTAATGTATTTGTTAGTCGGCAAGCATATATCACGCTATGTAGTAGCTCAACGGAAAGTGTCTTCAAGGTCATTTACTCAAACAACAGGTACAATCATTTAATGATAAATGTACATGCAGTGAGAAATTGACAAAATAAATACAAATAATATTAAAAACTATTTACAAAATAAGCTTGTTAGAGTTATCTCCACATGGTAGAGTGAGAAGTCTCAACATATTCCCATTATTTTTCCGCAGGGTACGAGTTGATCTAGTACTGGCTCACCGTATTCTGAGCGTCAGTTGGTTATCGACTTGTCTTATTTTTCTCTTTTATTCAGGACTGTCCATCTAAGAGGACATTCTGCGAAATTTCAAAAACTGAGATCAAATCGCTTACGTCTGTAATTGCGAGTAGTATCGGTGGAATTCTCTACTGTAACATGTAATACGCGAATATCTCTGAAATACATTTAAATACAGACTGAATCTTTACAGTCCAGTAAATTCAAAGTAATAATATAGGTCGTCTGACCTCTCATCCGTACTATGGATGACTAATGTTCATGAAACAAAAAATTGGGTTGTCTTATGGAGCAATTAGGATAAAGAAAAAGCAGCCTTCAATTGCAATCATATTTCCCATATCTATCACTCCGGTATTCTATTCTGTTATTAGTTTCAGGTTGGACACTGTCGCATTTGTTTCTATGTTTCAAGAATACTCGTTGTTGACTTTGCGCTCAAAACAAGTCGGTTTTTCGTTCAATGTATGTGCTTAGTGTGTCGTTTCCGTGGTTGTGCGTTTTTTAAACTATTTTAGGACTATTGTTGTATTTCACATAGATGGCAAGTGTTTTTTTTAAATTTGCCGCTCGGATTTATTCTAAAAGGCTCTTTTAGTAACGGCCAAATTAATATTTTCTGTGTGTGTAGTAGATGAAATTTTGCCACATATCTTGAAAAGTATCCTATGTATTTCGGTTGCCCCTCAAATCGCCTGTCTTACGTGTGGTTTTTTACCACTTACCTATCGGTTCACGTATATTCGAGAAAACTACTTGTATTTTGAATATCCTCGATTTAAATGAACCCTAAGTCGTTGGACTGTGTTCGATGTATTGATTTGTAATAAATCTCTTAAGGCTGATTACTTCGTTTAGAATCATATTTTTCTAAGTTCTACCACTGACAATATAGTCTGACTTATGGTTAGATGATAGTGATAACTTATGCTAAATTATTATTTGCTATCCTAGACAAAACCTGATATTAAGTTTTAAGCTTATTTCTCGATTGAAAAAAATGTGTTATGTTCGTAATGCAAATAACCTGATTCTTGATTCCAAAATAGTTGTTGTGCACTGGTTACATTGATGTTAAATAGTGCTTTTTAAAAAGTCTTATTCTATTCAATGTTACTCTATAACAATTCCTTTGGAACTCATCTTTTGTTAAACTGGGCGAAACACTCGTCATAAGCTATTGAGGCAACTAGTGTGGTGACAAGGTAAAATGTACTGTCTAATCAAACATTTAGACAAGGTTTACTTGGAATTAATTTTTAGTAAGCTTATACTAATATTTCATACTTCATGCCAACCGTTTGGAAACAAACTCAGGTTATTGTACTCCTAACTGACAGTTTTGTTCCAGATTCTTCATCGTTTGCCTGATTGTTTCATGCATTAATTTAGCAGTTGTTTTAAAGAACGCCTCTTTGTATTTCTCGCATGTGATATATGTATGGTATAAAACGTAACGAAACTGACGCTTCGTATTTATGAACAAGTGCAAATGTTTCTATGTTCAAAATTTATTGAATTTATGTCATATTGCAGGTTATGTTTTGGTTAACACAATAATAACTGGTGATTAGTGAACATTAAGCTGTCGTTTTTATATTTCTGTTTTAAATCTGCAACATAAATAAAGTAAAAATCAATCACTAAGTGGAGTCGTTCACTCAGAAATGACTGGTTATTTAACTGTATCTTCTTTATTGATCGTTTATTTCTGAGAATCCTTGAAATCATTACTAACTATTTACAAAATCGGAATAAGGGTTATTAGTTGATATTAAGCATACTATTGAATTCAGCTTAAATTGCTGGAGAAATTTCACTCCGATTATTTCTTAAACTAACAGAACTTATCTTCCTACACAATGCGTATTTTCGCTACCACTATGCTGTTGATTTTTCTTAAAGCTTCTACATCTTAGTAGATCATAAGTGTCATTCTTAAAACGGTCACAAATTATGTAATACGAATCCCAAGTTAATTAAGTACTATAAGTCAATTAGATGTTTTTTTCCGTTTTTATTTTAAGAATGAATTGGTTTCTTTACCGTTGTTTTATTTTTATTTAACAGGATAACAGACGTTCGGATTTCTGAATATTTCATTCTTGTCATATTTCTAAAACACTGAAGTAATTCATTATCAGAGACATTTTAAACTAAACAAATACTATGCGCGACGCAAATGCAAACGAACGAACTGCACTCACCACTGGTACTGGTGGTGCAGATTCATTCGAAATTTCCCCTAAAGATCTACAGAAATTAATGGACTGTCGTAAATTGGAGGCTGTTAAATATCTTAATGAAAAATACGGTGGAGTTGTAGGATTATGTCGATTACTAAAAACATCTCCACAAGATGGTGAGTTACATTTTTGCTTGGATTTTAAATTATAACTGGAATATCTTTGTTGAAAATTTGGAGAGGTACTTATCTATATTAAACAGTATTATTATTTAAAGTAGTATCGCCACTCAGTGATCAAGTATAGTCATGTGCAGCCATATGTGATTGTCTTAACTGAAATAATTGAAGTTACGCTTAGATCTGCCAATAGTATGATGTGGCTCAGAATCTTCTACAGTCACAGAGATGGACTCACTGGTTGTCTCAAAATACTGATTCTTCTTATTCTGCGAGTTTATTCTATCTTTCATATCATTTATACCTGGTCTTTTCTTCTACTATTGACATTTGTTCTGCTACTCTGGGAAATGCCTCAATAATGCCATCTTGCTGTGCTGTGTGGGAACCACTGCACTTATGTGACATGTTGAACATTATGATTGACTCACTTCAGTCTTCCATCTGCCGTTTGAGAGTCGAATGTCTGGAGCACTAAGTCGCATCTCGACTTTTAACAAAACTTCTATACACAATTTTATGGCTAGCTGTTAAATTACGTTCATCAGCTAATTTTTATTCATGCCAGTTGAGTTTCTCTTCAAAGAATAATTTTGTTAATTCTTACATTTTTTTTCCGGAAACCAAACATTTCGTATCACCATTAATAACTCTTTCATTGTTAGTTTTAACTCTGAAAAGGGTTATTTTTCATGATTTGAACGTACACAAGTCATATCAGTCGAAATTAAGGCTTGTAGCGTTCTGTAAATGCTAGGTATTGAAATCCATATTTGTTCCCAACCATACTCGTTACTCAGAAATTGGATGTATATAGGTTTGAGTGTTCATTTTTTAGTGAAACCTTAACTCAACACTTCCTTGGGGAATGCTTTTTCAAAAGAAGCGAGGGAGTCGAGGAGTAGAACGTCAGAAATAATATTAAAACTCAGAATTTATGTGGAAAAATATAAAGTTCATATATCTGTATCACTGTGATTGATTGTAAGCTGCATCACCAAACGTCTTCAAACAAAATTCATAGCAGGTCGAAAAACTAGGAAAAACAACTTAAATCCTAAGGTCGATTTGTCAGCTTTAATCAACACAACAAAACTTCCACCGAATATCCAACTAAAACCAAGGTGGATTTCTTTAATTTTATTGATAAAATGTGGATGAGATCTCTTTATTAGCACTGAAGCCCGAGTTTTCTTAGAAAAGGTAAACAATTGATTAAGTTTAACGTGCTTCTTGATGGCTACTTTAACCGCCTATGTTAAGCAATAAATTGATTTTTAAAAATATTTACTATAAATGACATCATAGTTAATATTTAGGCAACAAAAATTGATTGACATATTGATAAGACATTTATATGGAATTTTCACGGTATACTTCTTACTTTTTTACAACCATTGAAAGTTTCTTTCAGTAGTCGTAGCCTTCAATGTGTAAAAAATTGTTTATACTGATGGATACTTTAAACTGTGACATATTACTAGACATAGTATCCAGTTTAAAGTTCTTTGAGTTTTACAAGGTGGTAACCTAATAAGCAGGCCACTCATCTTTGAACTACCTGGTTACGAATTCGATGCTTGCTCCACCTACCACAGTCTGAGCAGCCCTGATAGTATGAATTCCCCTCACTAACAAAAGCATGATCTGACATAGACGACAGAACCCTGTCATTGATGAATGTATTATATCATAATGAAAATTCTGTGAGATTGTTGACTGATAGTCCTAGTCGTTTGCGAGGTTGTATGCTACCTACTGAATATGGTTCCTGAGACACTGGTTACATTTATTCACCAGTTTGCACTGCGGACTGTTATGCCCTCTATCCCAATCATTATTCTAGTTCTATCAGTCGTTGGGAAATTTTTAAACCTCGAATTGCAATCAATAAGTCTCAGGTTCAAATCATTCTATATTTGACTCGCTTTGGAAGTCCTAAGTAATATCATTAGTCTACATACAAAGAATTGTAACCTAAACCCGATTACATAAACCTGTATGTGTTTGGTAAATAAGTTATCAGGTACCTTATTTGACCAAATTATTACGATATGATTGTTCTTTAAACTATACTTATTGCCAGTTTAAGACTAGTAATATTTTATAACACACAAATACACACCACATAATATAGATATACTTAACAAAAATCATTAACTTATATCTGGTTTATTTCAAAACACTTTCTTTCCAAAACACTAATTTTCCATTAATACTGCTACTAGTGATTATATAATTAATAACACGACATACATATCTATGCTCTTTCTTTGTATATGTCTGCGTTAACACTAGTTCTTCATTTTGTCCCTCTGTTGAGATCGTGTATTTTAAAATAAACTAAAGAATAAAATTTCTCCGTGATAAGTTGTAGAAATTATTGTATTTTCCGAGTTGTTTACACAATCAGTAGTAATATTAGTAATAGTGACACTATGAGTATACATCATCTATAGGCGCCCGCCATATTTAATCCGTATCAAATTATTGGAATGGACACAACATCAGACAGATTGTTTTAGATTTTTATAAATAATCGGTAAGTTCTCAGAGAATATATTTTTGTACGTGACTATCTGTCTGTCCCTCTAAATACATAGAATACAATAAAGTAGTAATTAGTTTATTTTAGTTTGATCTATTTTATTCTAGTCTTGTGGAAACTAACTCAAATGTAATGGCTTAGTGTAGTTTGGATTGCAACTAGTGTGTTGGTGAATTCGAACCCCGCTTTTTTAAAAACTGTATCATTAGGTTTCACATGTGAAAAGCTGACGTATACAGCCACTGCTAGGGAAGTCCTACTCACTGGGCTTGAGTTTTAATGTCAACATCACTGATATGAATAGATACACTTAACTGACCAGTCTCAAACAGGACAAAAGGCATAATATTGAGTTCTGTGAGGAGTCATAAGTGAAATATACAACGTTATTCTCGTTTAAAAGTACTTTATGGTCAATATAGAGATGGATAAGCTTTGCTCCGCTTATCCGATGTTCACTTAACAGATACATAATGGTTTGTTACTTGATTCACCTACATTCATCTTATTAGGATTAATTACGGTAAATTTATTATTATTATTATTACTATCTAATAAAGATATAATTATTTATCCCCAATTAGAGTATATGACCTATAATTCAGCTTGTACATATATTTCACTTCCTATGTTTGCATGTGTGTGTGTTTGTGGTTTGTATTCCTTGCATTTATTAGATAGACTTGTACACTGAATTTTTTTTATTGACCATTGCATACTTTTTTCATTCACATAGTTTGTATTCTGAATAGACATTTCTGATGCCAATTTTGTTGGCTAGTAGCTGACTGTACACAGATTGGCTTTATTTAACCTTGATTTAATGATATTAATTCAAAGTTAAGAAGTTTATGGCGCTTATTTGAATTTGATGCTAATTTTTATTGCACACATATATCAGCTGGTGAATTATTAAGAATCAGAACCCAGAAATGTACATGCACGATATTGCCATAATCTGACCACAGTAAGGATGATGCTATTGGGTCGGGAAATCAAAGTTGTATGACACTTCAGTGATTAAAGGTGAGGCGCTCACTGTCCTGAGTTCAATTTACGGTTCGGTCGCTGGTGCACACTACTAAGAAGTCCCATCAGATTTTCTAAATTTAAATTAACTAACTCCACTGGTACTTGTATATGAGCCATACTATAAATGTGGGCAATAATAATGCTATCCATTTACCCTAGCCGAAATAAGTGGGGCGGATTTCGAGCCCCGGGCATAGTGATCAAAATTCGAATGCTTTAATCATTAAGCCACTACCTCACCAGGGGTCCTGTACTAGGACGAGACATCTTCCCTGTGCTTTTTGTTGTTCAGTTGCACCATACTTTAGGTCAGTCAATGATATAAACTACAAAAATCACAATTCAGCGATCCACATTTTCAAGCTCATTCAAAATGTAATATGGCACCGTCATCGTCATGGTTACTCGTTAACTACACAGTACCAAACTAGGCTAAAATAATGATGTTTAATTCCTTTTAAATTTGTCAGTCTTGATGCAATTTAGTTCAGGACAATACTTTTTATCCTGTGTATTGGTTCTTTTTTCTTGATACATCTCTATATATGATACTCTCCTCTACGACTTTTACTGGTATATATACATATATATATGACTAGAATAGTACTAAGTAAGTATTACAACGAATTAACAAAATCACACATATACATGTATGCTCAAATATTATGGCTAAAAATATATAAAATAACTCTATAAATAGACTAGAAACAATATGATTTTCAGTCATTTTAATAATGAATACATATTTCTTACTCAAATAAAGAACGCTTTATACACAAGCACACATTTTTATGTATTGAGATGACTAACTACTTACATAGATACAATTTTACAATAAGTAAAGTAGTTGGATCGTATACATTGTTTTTCTTAAATGTATATTACATATATTTTCACCAAAAAATCAACTTGATTGAATGTATGAAACTAAATATTGTTTTTTCTTTCTTTCTCTGTTTCGCTTTCTCTCCAAATTACATTCTTGTGATGAGTAAAACAACATTGATTTTATTAATTGTTGTAAATTTTTCGATTGATTTAATCACCAAGGTTCATAGATCAAAGATCATGGATTAGATTATTAAAAAGAAAATCACGTTCTAGTAATTAGTTCTAGTCGACTAATATTTACTCTGAATAATTGGAAATATCCAAGTTTGACAGTCAATGTTTGATTTATTGAGTTTAAATCTACCAGTGTTGGCTTTTTACCATAAATTGTAGTGCTATTTTGGCAACTTAGGTTTAATGATAAATAAAATGTACTTGTCTTTCAAATAATCGGTCTCAAGTTCGAATCTCTCCCCTTACTTACTTACTTACGCCTGTTACTCCTGATGGAGCATAGGCCGCCGACCAGCATTCTCCAACCCACTCTGTCCTGGGCCTTCCTTTCTAATTCCATCCAATTCTTCTT